GTTTCATAGATGGCTCTTTACATCCTTGACTGCATACGCCTCACAAAATTTAACTAGTCCAATGAAGGTAGTAGGGGGGCTGGTCGGGGTTCGAGAGGAGTATATGGCAACGCATCTATCAAGAAATTTAAATTTCTGTGAATATCTTAGCTTTGTACACCAATTTTTCAAATAATCTCGATTATGAAAGGAAAATATATCAGAATTGTTAAACGATGGTTTTATTTTAAATTACAGAAATCTAGTTATGAGAAGAGAAAGCTTGCTTTTTCTATTGTTTCATAGATGGCTCTTTACATCCTTGACTTCACACGCCTCACAAAATTTAACTAGTCTAATGATAGTAGTAGGGGAGGTTGGTCGGGGTTTGGGATGGGTATTTGGCAACGCATTTTCCAAGATCAAGAAACTTAAATTGCCGTGAGGGGGGTTAAAATCCCCCCATTTTTGTTAAGAAATAAGTGTTTAGTTTATATCTATATAGTATATTTGTCATTCCTTTAGCATTACGTATACTTTGTTTTGGACAAAAAAACAAAGACTCCCCCCCTCACAAACAGAGATTTACTGAAGCTGCACCAGTAGCCCCAGGTAGTCATTCAAATAAGTGAGGTGTATACTAGTAAAAGCATTTGCAGCGCCATCTACCAGGCGGTAGTTGAAACAAAGTATCTGATTCTATAAAGCTGCTAAAAGATATATTTTCGTTTCCGTCAATCTTATTAAGTGATTTTGAAATCAGAAAAATGTATTTTCGTTTCCATCAAAACTGAATATAGTAATCTCGAGAATCTGATGATAAATCAAATTACGTATTTTCGATTTTTGATATGTGAGTAGGTGTTGATGATTAGTTAGGCTATTTTCCGGTAGATGGCGGCTCTTAACGTCTATATGTTGCTGCGCCATCTGTTAGAGAGTGGCGGAACTAAATAAAAAATTCAACCGTAGCCTCGGTGGAGCAAAATTCGTTCATAGGAGTAGCCACACTGTGGCAGCAACAAATGCAAACTGCCAATCAGAGAGCTACCCTCATTATCGAATTTTTTCATTCATCTGCGTAACCTATATTTTTTTTTACTTCAAGAATTGACGAGTTGTGTAATGGACTATATAAAGGATGTACTAGGCTTTTCTAATGACGGCGCAATTGGAATGGCCTAGAATATGGCTGCTGTTTAGCGTCTTTAAGAGCTTATCGGCAGAATATTGGAAAATCGAAAACTCTTGTTTTATTTCAGTACTATCACAAACATTTATAAACATAAGAAGTTCTACAATTTTTCTCTAATTGTTATAGAAAGCATCTTGAAACGGAAAATGTAGTTGATTCTAAATTTACGGTTTTCCGATAACACTGACGGAACGTATTCGTAACTCGTCTCTAGCCTTTCTTCAGCGATAATATTTTTTTTAAACTGAGTGAAGGCTCGTGTGATAAGTAGGTATATAATTTGAAGATATTCAAGAGATCAAAGATACGTAGGGGGAGGACCTTTTTGAACAGCATTTCCTACCTTCAGAATTGGCTTACACTCTCATCGGTAGATATTTGGCAGCAGCCATGTTCCCTCAGCCGATAAATAAAACTGCAGACGTTGGAAGAAACATTTATTTGTAAACATATCGGCCACTTCGGTGGAGTTTTTCATATCATAATAATGGAAAATGATAATAATGGACGCGTTCAGAAAATGTTAGGCATAAATTTAGATCGTTCCACTCATGGTTACGTACATAACGCTATTCCTGGAATTTATACTTCTTGAGAACATTGCGGTCTTCAATTGAAAATTTTATAAAGGGAATATTGTGGTGGAGCACACAATATTGTATATTGAACCAAATACGATTCGCAGACACTTAGAGAAGGGGAAAGTTGTTGTAAAAAAGCCAGGACAGTACTTACGATTCTACTGTTAAGAAAGTTATTCAATAAAGTTTGAAAATATGCGATGAAAGATGTTTGAATCGACTGACCTTCACCAAACCCTTGGCCCACGGGAAGAGAAATAGTCAGGACTTTAAAATGCATAATCAGAAAACAATCGTATTAGGATCTTCAAGGCATCCACAATACAGCCGGTGAAGGTGGTGATTGGTCGCTACCCAGTGATCTTCAAATTCCTTCTCCATGGTCATTAGACCACTGTATTTGATGGTATGCTGGCTGACATATGCCGATCAAATATATGTTTATGTTAGTAAGCAGTGGGACAATTTCTCGTGGAAATGGTGTATAGGTAATCCCATATGTTTTTCTGGCCAAAAATTTAAAATGATTCTGACAGTACATTTTATTTTCTTGTCTTCTACGTGATACTTTGTTTGATTCTTTTCATTTTTGGATTCCTATACAGTGTGCACTATAGTGTGAAAGGATCACACCACATATTTTAAGATAACACCACGCAAAACCAGCACAGCCTACCCCACCTGGGGTAGGCACTCTCGCTCTCAAAATGACGTCTAGTCCCTCAAAACGACTAGCTAGCACGAGGTTGTCTGTCGATTTTGTAATGTCCAGATACGTGGTTCTCGTCGATCATTTCAAAAACGTCACAAGTCCTCCAAAAAAGAAATAAAAAACGCGAAAACCCACCCAGAAATGAGGTAAGACATATTAATTGTTATGCAATCTGCATCTGCGCTGTTTACGGATCCGAAACGTGAGAAATAGCACTTCGAGAGGGTGTCCAGAAAGCATGGAAGCGACAAAATATATCGACGAGCGATTTTGACATTTTCCATTTTATGCCTTTTTCTCCGACGCCACTGGACCGATTTTCAAAAACTACAAGGCGTTTGCGTCCTTGGCATAGCAAGTAACATTTTAATAAAATTTCAATGAAAGCCGAGCGGTCCTTCTCAAGTTATATTCGGTTAGAAGAATTACCAATAGTCAGACGGAAATGAGTGGCAGTTTGTTCGTGAGGTTCATGTCATATAACATCCAAAACCTGAATATCTCATTTACGAAATTTTTCACGATTACAACAGCTCCCCACCCAGTGGCTATCACCGTCAAGGTCATATGAAGATCAAGTACATTTTTAACGGAAATAATCTATTTTTTTATTCCTGAAATGCAAATTGCGGCAATTTTAAATTCAAGTATATCCTTGCCAATCAACTTGACCATGATCCCCAACGTTATTTTAAGCAAATGAGTGCCCAAGTAAACTACTTTTGTCGAGGATGTAAAAAAGCAAGTTTTTGAACTTAACTGTTGCATTGAAATGTTGGATAAAAAATGTTCATGGCCAAAGTAACTTTTGCGCAAATATTGCATTTCTTTTTCTGAAACTAATCTCCTTAGTACTAATGCAAAACGATTTACCTATACTTTGCAGTACTCCTACGTGGCTGGAGCCGTGGTAAATAAAACAATGCTCCAATTTGAATAGCTTCGTATCTCTTTTTTACATTATTTTAATCTAAATATAACAGTTTTATTCAAGTTAGCTATACATAATTATCGAAATATCAACTGCCAACTTCCTATGCCAAAAATGGCGACGAGGTATTGTGATCGCGGAAAATTTGTCAATTGAGATATTATGTTTTTTTTGGATGTTATATGTCATGCACGACATGAACATGGACAACCATGCCACTCATTTCCGTCGGTCTGTCCGCTTATTTGATATCCGCTTATAATTTTATTTTGATGAAATTTTCACACAAGGTTACTACCACGCCAACGATGAAAAAGCTTTGTAGTATTTGAAAATCGGAATACTGGTGGCAGAGTTAGGGGCAAAACACAAAATTTTTGTAAGAGTTGAAGCTTGGGGCCAGGGGGTTGTAATATTTATATATTTTAGCAATATTTGGATAATAGTACGTACCACTTTAGTGTGCCCTTGTATGTAAATGATGACTTGATCTACACATATATTTTGCTGAATCTTATGATCCTCTATGTACCACCCATTTCGCAAAACTTTTGATTTACGTTACTCCGTCTATGATGGTTCTCTGAATATTTCGTCAAGTAGACTGACTCAGTACTTATGACGCATTGATATACAACGGACTGATAAACCGACATGAGAAACACGGACTTGTGTGATGCAGATATCTTTAAGCAACGGAAAGCTTCTGAACCGTAGTTCGAATATTTCCCCGAGTTTAATACTTGCATCATTTAGGTAGTCGTAGATTTCAAAAAATCTTTCAGACGGAGCGAAAACAAAATCGCTGGAACGTAGTGTTACAACGTTTCAGAGATTCCTTTTCATTTTCAGATATTGTCTGGTGAGAATGAAAATTGTAGGTTGGAAGCTGTATGCAGTAAATGGTTGTAAATTGATGCATATTTGGTGTCAGTGAAAAACCTTCTATTATTAAGACGCTGATGATCTCATTGGTAGGTAGGTACTATGCACCTATTAGACATAATAAGTTACACATGTTTTTGCTAAATCTGCCATTGAAGCATAACTATGACGGATTTATTTTATATAGTTTGATATTCATCGTACCTAAGTGAACCTCCCTATTCACGATTCGACTTCGATTTTGAAGTAATCTGACTCATCTCTTTTCTTTAAAACCTCCTACAAATGCCTAGGAAGTATAGAGTCAATCTACTTGACGACATTTTTACATTATTTCAATCCAATTAAAACAGATTAATTCAAGTTACGTATTCGCGATTATCGAAATATTATCTCGTTTTTTCCTAATTTTAACAAGTTTTGATGCAATATCGCATATTGCAAGATCATTAATAAGAAACAGATTTAGGGTGGTTTTACCAGGATTGTCAAATCAACAGTCCGTTATTCTCCACCTATAGGGTAACAGTCCAAATACAGCGAATGAGTTTCAAGTTCCAATCAACAAATTTTAGCGACCAATAGCTATAAAATGTTGAAAACAAAATATTGTCCATCAAGAGCGGCAGTCCCTTCAAGCAGAAGTGTGATTTTTACACCCTACCAAGATTTGAAAGGACTAATAAAAGTGCACATAACCAGTCTTTGGCAACAGAAATGGAATGGCAGTCACAGCAAACTACTCGCAATTGCTCCAGATGTCAACACGCGATTCACCCTACCTTCAGGAAGAAGGAACCAGATAATTACGTCACGTCTCCGGATAGGCCACACACTAGTAACTCACAAGCACATCTTCGAAGGAACCGATGCCCCAGTTTGTTCAACGTGCAACCAGCGGCTCACGGTGGTTCACATTCTGATGGAGTGCCCTACTTATCAAAATGTCAGAAGTCTCAACCACCTTTCTAATGACATCAGAGAAGTGTTACTGCATCAAACCGATAAACTTGTGAAATTTATCAAAGACATTGACATGTACTTCAATACATAGATTATTGTGCCGCCACGCCGCTAATAACCCTACGAGGTTGTTAAATAAAAAAAAAAAAAAAAAAAAATATTGTCAAAGTATAAGATTATAGCTTGTCATTGAAACATGACCAGTTTATTGAATATTAAGAAATTACATATATAATTCAGTCAAAATTTAAAAAAGTGTTTGATTTTTCAATAAAATTCATGTTTTTTTTTAATATTGTCGATTGTTTATTCATGTTTATATTATTTCTTCAATTGATATGCGATTTTACTAATTAAACATCACCTACCGTGTTTTTTCCTTGAAGCCTCTTGCAGATAGCCGTTAAGCACCTACTTGATGACAGGCTCTACCAAAAGGTTCATAGATATTGCTCATTTCCAAACATTAATTCATCTACTTGCCGTTCATCAGTACCACTATAGCACCTTAGATGGATATTCCCGCAAAACCATTCAGGATTTTTGATATCCACACATCTATAAAGTCGAATATTTTTCGTTGTTAGGGAACTGAATAAACATCCACACTATATTTACAGCAATTAAGAAATACCCAAATATATGTCGTAAAGCTACTGGCAAACCTAAAATCTGCAAAAAAACTAGAATTTACAATAACTTTCTTATTTCACTGAGTACACATTCTAAGTTATATTTATCTTAGATATTATTTGAATAGCAGCTGATTATGATATTTCAAAACTCCCCAACAAGTGACACATGTGTGGGATGCGTCAACGCTTGGTCCCAGTGGAGTAAGCTCCGCCAACTGTTGAAATATACTCTGCTATGCTTTATAAGACTATACGTGGAATTTTTCCCATAATCGTTGCACAACACTTGCAAAAATGCAAATGAAAATTTAAAATTATTTCCATGACGCCCCAAATAGCTCCGTTGGTACCTCGGGTTATACATCCAGTAGGGATGTTCGATACGATCTTATATTTAGAAGCATCGATAATTTTGCTTCCCATACCTGATATTTTGGATCGATATTTTTATATACGATACTTGGGTGTATCGATACATTTCACGAGTATCGTCGTCTTTCGATCTGGACTGTGTCAGAAAGAGAGTTATTAACTTCAGATTACCTTTCTTCTTTGTTTCCTTCCGCTGGATATCCATAATTTTATTTCCATATTTTAGAGTATCGATACTTCCTAAAACGATAAGAATCGATACATGTCGATACTTTTCGTGGATCGAAACATCCCTAATATTGACAGCTTGTCATTCTTGTCAACTGGGCTGCGGGGTGCAGTGTTGCCTTTACTATTTTACGTTTTGCTAAAATCTTATGGAAAATAGAAGCTTCAAATGAAATATTGACGAATATGAATGGATATGCATAGAATCTAGAATATAAATTCATATTGCAGGTTTCAGATTGTCTATGTATGGACTTGAACCGGATTTTTTGGCATTTCTACCGAAATGAGAATATTTTCCGAAAACGTAATTTTTCATAATAATTTAAATATTTCCATACTTGCCGAAAGAGAGTTGAAATCAAAAATAACGCTAAAAGTTAATTTTATGTAGTCTTCGTAATTTTATGCCCCATATCAATCATACATATGCATACACACTCAGGCAGTCAGGCACATGAGAGGCGTAGATTTGGGTTGCCTATGATTACGAACGCACATCCTCATCCCTTACTCCGCTTGTCCTGAATTGATTTTTGTGCATACAAAAGGTATAGACTGGTAGATTGCCGTCATTACCTCATCACCGGACAAGCAATAAAGAAACCGAAACCTGTCTGTTTTTAAAATAAATATTTAATAAAAATGTGAGGCGAGTTCATGAGTTCAGGGGTAAAATAGAAAAATATTCGCAATCCTATAAGCAAGAATCGAAAAAGGAGTTTCCAGAATGGTTGCAAAGTACTCTGAAAGAGCGACCAGTATGCATATTGCACAAGTTGTAATACATAACTATGCCTTCAAAAAGCATGTGTGTGCGCTCAATACAATAATAAACGTTTTACATAGACGGCGCTGCGTGACTCAAAGGTCCTTGATCCACCACTGATCTTGGGACGGCATTTTCTTTATACCGAATTCTACGACACTATTTACCGATTCCATACCACTTTAAAAGCAATTGATATCCCAGACGTTTTATAATAATAGAATAACAAGAAAATACAGCAATGCTTTTGGAGATATATTTTCGTAAATAGGTATTTTTGATTTTGACTTATAATATCTAGTGTATGGTGGATGCGGATACATTTACGAATATCGATGTTTTAGGACCCCGAAATGCAGAATGTGCTGTTTGTTTACATTTGGTGTGGATTTATACATCATAAATTGGCAAACATTGCTTTTGATATAACAAAAGATGATGAACCAGTTGGAATACGTTTTATATATCCTTTTTTTTTGCTGAATAACGGTACACTTCTACAGATACAACACCCTGTACGTGATATACAGGGTGTTTCAGTTTATTGTTGCATAACTTTGGATAGGACTTTTAAAATTAATGTCTCTTGTGAATTTTCGTTATATTTAGCCGTTTTTGAGATATTTCGATTTTTAAGGTTCGATGCATTTTCAATTATTTATGACAAAATAACGTGAAAAAGTCAGTATCTCGCTAATTTTTAGAAGTAGGCTATGCCTGCGAATATTTTTGAAATTGAAAGCAGAATAAGGTTAAACGTCAATTAGTTGACAGTTAGTTTTGTTGTCTGTTGAAACCTGAAACGTTTATTTGCAATTGTGAATGCACGAAATTTAGTTTCTTTTACCTGTTTTTTTTTGTAAGTTTTATAAAAATGCCATTTTTATTCTCCAATCAAGAGTTAGCGGATATTCATTTTGTGTATGGCTTTGTAAATGGAAACGCAGCAGAAGCAGCCAGAGAATACGCACGAAGATTTCCAAACAGACGACCAACTCGCTCAGTATTTGTAAGAGTGCATCGCCAAATAATTGAAAATGGTTTTGGAAATCTCCAAAGGGATCAAAACATAAATGTTCGTCAGCGCAGATTTACCCGTATGATTCTGCGTGAGTTTGATAGAGATCCGACCACAAGTGTTAGGAGAGCTTCTGGTGCCTTGGGAATTTCAGCAAGCCATGCTCACCGTGTTCTTAGAAATGACCATAGACGTCCTTACCATTTGCAACCTATGCAAGGACTACAGCCAGGGCACGGAGAACGAAGAATCACATTTTGTCAGTGGATTCTTGATAGAACTGATAATAATAGGGAGTTTTTAAGTAAAGTTTTATGGACCGATGAGTCATGCTTCACTAGACGTGGAGTGGTAAATTTTCGTAATCAACATATTTGGTCGCATGAAAATCCGCATGCAGTTCGGGAAAGAAATTTTCAGCATGAATTTAGTGTGAACGTGTGGATTGGTATCTACCGTAATCGACTATTTGGACAATACCTTTTGCCTGCAAGGTTAAATGCTGCGACCTTCTTGGAACTTTTAAAGGCTGAACATGCAAATATGTGGGATGATGTTATGTTAGATTTAAGAAGAATGGCCTGATGGTTGTCCAGCTCATTATTCGAGAATAGTTAGAAACTGGCTGGACGAAAATTATCCAGAAAGATGGATCGGCCGTGGAGGATCAGTCGCCTGGCCTCCACGATCCCCTGACCTAAATCCATTAGATTTCTTTGTGTGGGGATTTCTAAAAGAAAAAGTGTACCAGGACTCCCTTAACCACAAGAGATATGCTAATAGACAGAATCAGGAATGCCTGTGATGAAATAAGGCCTTATTTGAATAATGCTATATCACGTTCGATCATTCGTAGATGAGAATTGTGTATTGAACAATTGGGTTTACATTTCGAACAACTACTTTAGATTTTGTATGTTTGTCCTAACTATCCAATAGCATTTTAGTTGTTAATAATTAATTTAATTTGTTAAAAATATTTTTGGAAAATTAATCAAATTAATATTCTGTTTTTTTTTTGTGTTTATTTGGAGTTAGGAATTATTGCTGTGTTTAAAAACACAATCTAAACGATCATCTTAATTACTTGTAATGCCCAAATCGAAAATGTAAAAAAAATATTATTTTCCCATAAATAATTAAAAATGCATCAAACCTTGAAGATCGAAATATCTCAAAAACGGCTAACTATAACGAAAACTCATAAAAGAGCTTTTTTATGCAGAAAAGTGCGAAGAATCAGTTTTTTATTCAAAAAGCAAACAATTGCACTAAAAAAAAATTTTCGGTCATTTCAATACACTGCAGGTACGGTAGAGAGTGCCCTCTAGCGGCTACAGAAAAACCATGCCCATGGTTCGTTTTGTCGTACCAAAAAACCTTTGTATACCAATTTTCACTGTTATACATCAAATATTGTTCGAAATATTTAAAAAAAACTATTTTAAAAAGTAAATTTAAACACCCTGTATTTCGGAAGCTACGCATTTTTCGACCCATGTTTTTATAGTCTTTATGCATTAATTTTAAAAGTTCTATCGAATCTTAAAGTTACGCAACAATAAACTGAAACACCCTGTAGGGACAAAACTAGATTGCCATGCATGGACGGTCGTCAAAAACAGTGAAAACACCCTTTTAAATATAATAATTAGAAAATCGACCTATTGTTTTTCACATTTTTATTGGTCCATTTTGATAACTGAACGTCTTTTGTAAAATTGCGAATTCTATGAAAGTTATCCTAATTATAAAGCTCCAAGACATAATATTACATCTATAATTCACCATTATATACAGGGTGACTTTGAAGCTGAGTCATTAATTTTCAGATAATGATTGTAGAAGGAAGATAAACCAAAATATGTGTGTAAAAATAAAAGAAAAATTAAAAAAAAATTTTTACCTTGTTTTATAAAGTATCCTCCCGACAAGTATTTCAGTGCGGACCTGTATTTGATCGTGAGGTCCCCTGTGAGGTCTTAAG